GAGATGGTGTCAGATATAACTAGGCCACCCCAGCTAGTTATGAGGTACTGTACCATGATGACCAATAAAGATATAGAGTGTCAGGACCCTGTTTGTACCCAAATATAGACATGCTGGATCGTGGACAGGAATACTAATGCTTTTCTCACCGCCCTATCACCATGACATAGTATGGATCCTCATACGAAACCCATGTATTATGACTCTTGCTTGAATATTGCATCAGAGCTGGTCACCGAAATCGCTCCTTGGTATTTTCAGGCCGGAGTATAATGCCAAATATGGTCAATCTCTGAGGTGAATTTACCCATGGGTAATTAAATAATCCTTTGATTTACTTTTCAAGCAGAAATACCAAGAATTAGCTGGTTCTAGCTCCTTAAAGGTGATGATTTGTTGCTTCTTTGTTTTATATCATTGTAAACATCGTAAACTGAATATCTTTGGCTTTTGAACTGTTGATCAAACAAGACAAGGCATTACCGGGAGCTCTAGAAAGTGAGACATGTTTCACAATTTTCAAACAGTTTTTAGACAAAATGATAAATCGAGAAAATAATCAGCAGATTAATTGATAATGAAAATAATCTTTAGTTGCAGCCCTATAGAAGATAACAAAAACTGAGATGATTAGTAAATTATCTGAATAGTCATTTGGCAAAAAAACACTTTTGGTAATTTACTAATTTGCTTGGCTGTTAATTGTATATCTTTGGGTTTTGGTGTGTTCGTTAGCTAAAATATTCAATCTAGGGCTGCAGCAAATGATAGCGAATTAATCTGCCAATTATTATTATGATTCAATTGTCAGAAAGTAGTGAAACTTCCACTTCCATTCGCATTTTTTGGAGCCCAATGAGATGTATTCCAACAGCCTGTTTTGTCCGACCAAAACCCCAAAATATTCAACACATTACAAGCAGAAAGTCCCCACACTTCAGAAGCAGCAACCAGTGAATGCTCGCCATTTGTGGTTGAAAAATGACTAAAACAATAAATCCATTATCAAAATAGTTACAGATTTGTTTTCTTTTGATCAACTTATGGATGAACTGACTCATTATTTTACATCTACCATCTACAATCTCACCTCTCAGCATTAAGAGGCCTTTTAACTATTTTCTGAAATTGTACACATTAAATAACAATTGGTTGAAGACCTAAGTAACTTTATACTTGATGTTGCCTTAATATACATCAATGTACATAGCACACATACAGCATGACCACACTTAACCCCTTGACTCCTGAATTTATTTACAATAAAAAATGTAATAAAATATTTGTGCTTTCAAGCTGATGTTAAATTAAGTGGAGATTATTAATTTGTCAACAGAATACAGAATAGATATAAATTCAGGTATGATGCAAATTAGCAACAGGTATAAATAAATATTATTATAAATATAAATAAATGTTAATTCTTAATGGCTTTGGGTAACCATCAGTAGAGGTACAGGAGTGGTTGACTGGTCTCTGAGGAAGCACTTATAACCACACAGGTGCTCTAACAGCTCTGGTAAATACAGCTATATAATGTTGTGAGTGTGTTTGGGTGTGTGTATGTCCATACACATTTTTTCACTCCAAATTCAATAAGGCTTAATTGGTATGAGAAACAGACATTTACATTGCCATCTACATAAACAGAAGAACTGTGCTATTAAAGTATTTCTATACAGATAACGAAAATAACACCCTGAACAACTGCACCCACAGAGACCCCAATTGGCCAAACATTGCTATTGGCACTGGAAGACAGCTCTGATTATATGTGAGTGTGTGAGTGTGTGTGTGTGTGTTTGGCTGTAGCTGCTCAGAGGTAATGTAATGACGGCCGCGGCTCCATTAGGACTCCCTTCTTCCAGAATCCCATCATACCACTCCCAGTGGAGAAAGAGAGACAGACAAATAGGCAGGCAGAGGAGACACAGACAGAGAGGCGGAGGAGAGAGAGATGAAAATGTCAAAGGCTGCAGTGAAATCTGACCTCCTGGCACATCAGGATCGTGTAGGGGCCGGTGGTAGGGAGGAGTGTGGGGGCAAGAGAGGGTGAAGGGAGGGAGGTATTTTGGAGGGAAATGAGAGATGTACAGGAGTGATAGCAAAATAAGAAGAAGAAGAAGAAGAAGAAGAAGAAATCTAGGGTAAAGAGACAAATTCTGGGGGCTTGCTGGCTCTGGGGGAGGAAAATAGATGAAGAGCTGAAAAGAAAACAGATTGCAAAAAGAACAGTAAAATGAAGGGAAAGAGGGGATGACACAGTAAGTTCACTTGAAAAGGGATCTTCCAACAAAGCTGAGTAAGAAATAGGCCAAGATCGTCTAGACCTGAACACAAGTCATTTCTAGATATAAGGGCCAGAACATTTAAAATGCAGACATCTCTTTGGAGATAAACAAATTCCTTATATATCCTTAAATTCTGCAGGATTTAAACTTGCAGGTCTCAACTGAAGCCTGGAGGTTCTAAGAGTTCAATCATCAATATCCGACAGTGGACATAAAATCCAGTCATGAAGTGATCTCGGCAAGCTGAGCTTTTATGCATCCACTATTCAACCACAGGACAGTGGACTGGCACAGGCGGAGGGTTGACAAACTATGACGCAGTCTTTGTATTGTTCATACATAGGGGAGAGTGGATTGCGGGAATAAATCACTCAACATCAACCCAGAGCAGTGAGTAAATACCCGGCGACACAGGTTCAGTGAGCACAGAGACATGGACACACAGCCACTTGGCTAGGAAGAAGCTATTTTTCTCCAGGACAATCACACAAGAGACAGACAGTATTTTTAGACCTGCACGTGAAGAGCCTCACATCACATTGCGTCCCTCTGTCATTTTCTCTTTTTGTCTCACACACGTGGATCTGTTATATCTGTAGTGCTCTGTTCTGTCTTGTAAAAACAAGTGCTAACTGAGTTTATTTCACAGACATTGCTGTAAAACAGGTTTTATCGGAAGGTATTGTCTGTCAAGGGAAAGACAGGTGGTTCAAAGAAACAACCATCAACATCACGGTCTCTGGATTATCCTGAGAGGATAATGTTTCTTGAAAGACATTTTATGTTGTGCTCAACAAATAAAACCAAAACTATCTAAAGGGCTAGATGCAATTACACACTGAGAAGAAGGCAGATTCAATTTTACCCACTGGAACAGCTAAAATCATGTACATTTAAAGTCCTGTCAATCAATATTTTTTATATTAACTATTAATGAAATGACTACATGTAATGAACAATGGGTAATGCACAGTGATGAACCCATAGAGACTTCTCACCCAACTCATGCACAGTTACTTCAGTCCCACTGCTTCAACTCCAATTCAAACAGCAGCTAAATAAAAAGAAACTCTGATAAAACCACTGTACACTTTCTTCTCAGTACCAAACTGCAGACAGATAAAGAAGCAGCTAACTTGTGAAGAAAATAATATATCTAGCAAGCTATCAACACAGATACTTTTCACAGGCCTGGGGGAGACCCAAACTAGAGCTAAAATGATAGTGAATATTAGACTTATATTTGTCAACTGGCCAGAAACACATCTCCAAATTAATGAGAATGTGGCTGCACACCTGCTGGATTTAGGCAAATGTTTGCTAACATCTCAGTAAATGGCATGAGCTAAAACATTGTGGTACCAATTGTGCAAAAAGATTGGCTTGTAAATGTGACTTTTTTTCTTTTCTTTTTTTAAAATTTTTTTACCAGTTTTGCTTCCAAAAAACAGAAATAATCAACTTTTGTGGGAAATTAAGGAGGAGTCTCTTTTGTACTTCCCTTACAGAGCACATCCAGATAAACACAGATGAAGACACACATGCACATGTCTGCAGAATGTGCTCACAACATTGTGAACACAAACACCAGTCTGAGCAGCGCTTTAGATTTTATAAATTGTGATGATACAAAAACTCCTGATTGCAAACAAGTATGTGAGCTAAACGGCCCCACCCTAAAAGAACAGACTAAAGTATGTGTCTGTGTGTGTGTGTGTGTGTGTGTGTGTGTAGCACTACGATGTAACACTACAGTCCATTACTGAAATCACATTAGCCTGAAAGAGTGCACTGAGACAGGAAACAGCCATCTACCATCTCCTGACTCACTTTCTCTGAATACACAAACACACACATTACATGATCACATCTAGATGGTAACACTTAACATGCATTTTCTGTTTTATGTCTTACAATTATGAAGACAGACTCAGATATAAATAAATGGACTGTAGGGATTTATTTTTTCCTAATAAGCCCGTGCACAGCGGGGTATCACTTTTACTAAACTGCACCTAGGTCTTTGCAATAAGTGATGCATGGGAGGAGGAAGAAGAAGCTGCAGAGTAATATCAGAATTTTATACAACACAAGGGAAGAAAGACTTACTGGCAAACCAGCCCGGCCCAAGAGTGGCCTGGGAGAGGACATAGCACACTGTGTGTGTGACCAGAACAAGATAAAATAATTGCAATATGTCATGTTTTGGGTAGAAGGGTAAACTCATCTGAAGTCACAATCAGGGATGCTCACCCTCTCATCATCTGACCAGCAAAGAAAAATATGGCCCACATAAACAGTAAGCTAGACATCCATTGGTAGGCTATATGTGCAGTAGTAAACATTCTTCGCTGCAGCCTGTAATAGTAGCAAGTGGAGACAGCGCAAGTCTAGTGTTTATTTTGACGGCCATAACAACTTGCACAATTGGCCTGTTTAGGTAATATCACACCTCCATGAAACACATCACTCTAAGTCTCATGTCAAAACAGACGGCATTCTCCCTGCGGGAAAAGTAGCTAATTTGAACACCTTGTAATGCAACATCTGAGCCAATCCGCAAGATCACAAGCGCGTGCCGATGTGCTTTAAAGTACGGCAACGCCTTTGACTGCACTTCCAAAGCGCACAGCAACATCAGCAGCGGAGCTCGTTACACGGCCGAATGGGCCAGTCAATTCCTAGAGAAGGCTACGGACAGACACCCACCTGCCGTATTCGGTTCTGGTGCAGCGGCGGTGGAGGTCCACCCTCGGGGGACGTGTTGTTCGAAGAGGCCATTTTCAAGTCCCACTCGGAGCCGCCGCCCCTGGAGTGACTTTCTTCCTGGCTACTTGACATTCTGTCTCGGGCTGGCTGCTGCTGGAGGCGGTAACTGAGGATCCCGTTTGCCGGTGCAAGGTGGATTTCTGTGCGGGCCTCAGAATCCAGAAGGCTCTGCAGGGCCCAGGATCATTTTGCGGCGTCAGAGACAGTCTGTTATCAAACGTGACAAAATATGATACAGTGATCTCCCACTGACTATCAAACCAAAAACGAGCGCTCCCTCCGTTCAGGGATGCTCCCGGTGTGTTGCTGTATGCCTGCGTGTATAAGTGTGGAGATGTGAGCGCGCATCAGATGCGCTTTCCCGAAACTCCGCAGGATCAATGCCATATTCAGGGGCAGTCGGAAATTTCGTAAACACACCTTGATTGGGATGATCAATTTTTGAAAAACTGATTTTCTGGGCAAGGAGCAAAAGTACAAGAGGCGTAGACTATGTTATGATTGGGTGATAGTCTAAAGTGACTAATTGGAGTAACAGAATGCTTTTTTTTTTTTTACTCTTTCTTTAACATAGCCTCGGCCTACTAGATTACTTAAAACAGTAGGCTAATTACACTGCGACATCAGGTTTACATTATTTATTTTCCTATATATTTTATTACCACTAAGAAAAAAACGATCTGCTCCACTTGATCCCTATATTAAAAAAAAAAAAGACCCTGAACAAAACATTTTGGGGCTAAACCATTCCCAACCAATGTTACGTGAACGCACCGTCAAGCAATGGGCCTGACTAGTGCGCTCCTGTTTTGCTTCTTGTTGCCCCCACCCCTCGGTGCGTCTCTGCACCAGCAGTAGCTTCAGACAGGAAAGTTATAAGTGTGGTCCATGGTGTCCCGTGATTTAATGAACTTACACACATATGAAATCATCCAAGCCCATGCACATTGGGTTGGGCTTACATAATGTAATCTCCCTTTTAGTATTCTTACGCCCCCACCTTGGCCTGTGTGTCCTCACTGAGCTACAAATGTAATGAAGGTTGACAGGGCAAAATCAATAACAATGTCTTAGAGACAAATCCAGGCAGAACTCTGATAGAGGAGGGAAAAGTGGAGAAAGGGGGTGAACGTAATCATGTTAAAACAATAAATGTGACAATAAAATATGGGAAAAGGTCAAGAAAGGTTTTTTTTTTTTTATAGGAAAGGGTCCAGCTCTTCAGCACATCAGGTTACTGAAACAAAAGAGCCCCATATATTAACATAGATACCTTGCCTACATATCAGCTTATAATCTTTTTTACAAGTATATTTTGGCTAGGGAAGTAAAGCAGCTACAGCAGTTACAGCTGTTTCTAAGGTTAAGTTGGTGCCAGTTAAGGGCAGGTCTTGGTGAATTTCGTTTCTAATAGTTAGAATTTTATCATTAAAGAAGCTCATGAAGTCGTAACTACTGAGAGCTATGGGAATACTTGGCTCAATAGAGCAGTGACTCTCCGTCAGCCTGGCTACAGTGCTGAAAAGAAACCTGGGGTTGTTCCTATTTTCCTCTATTAATGACGAGTAGTACGCTGCTCTGGCATTACGGAGGGCCTTTAAGACTATCTTGCCAAATTATTATATAGGTCCTATTTCCTCAATTAAGTGGAGAATATTGATTGTAATAATGTCAGCAGCCGTGGAGTGACCTTGATACATTAGACTTGAGGGCTGCCATGTAAAGTACCATCTGCATACAGGAGCAGTTTGTGTTCCTCACCACCAGCATTTATTTGCCAACTAAGTGTCTATTAGCAATTGCTAATGGTACCAGTGCAACATGGTGAATTGTCCTAAATAAAGTTGTAATTATAAAGTAAGCATTGCACTTGATATGAACTGGGAGGCAACGGGGGCCCAACATCAAATGTATCCCCCTGGGTCCACAAAGAGGTCAATATGGCCATATCCCCAAGGGTTCTGTTATCTTTCTTGTGTGCTGCAACTCATTGCTAATTATGTTATTGCAATTTTCCTTTTTCATACAGCATGACCCTAGAAATAACTTAATTTAAATACCATATCATATTATCTAGAACCTAGTCCCACAAGTCAAATTATGTTCTTCTTTTACCCAATAAGTACAAATAGCTGCTTACTGACTGCTGAGTTTATCTGAACTAGGGGACATGATGGCCAGTATGATAGGGAAATGTCATGTGATGATTTGTTTTATATGCAGCACTGCCCTGTTTCCACTGCATGGCATCACCCTTAAAACACAATATTGGCAGTGGCCAAACCAGTTGAAAATCGCATCCTGCCTTGATGATCTCAATCTAAAAATTAAACTGAAGTACTGTATACACAATGACTGCTGCACAGTCATTAATTCAGATTCACTGAGATCACCTTGAACATAAAAGTCGGACAGGTATATATATATAAAAATACTTTATTAGACATCTACCTTTAACAAACAAGATATCATTGAACTGGTTCCAATCAATGACAGCAGCAACCAAACCACCAAGAAACATTAACAACGACAAACAACAGAAGACAAGGACAAATGGTGGAGAAAAGCTTATAAGAGCTAGAACTGAAGCATACTTCTGAGTCTTTTTTATTGCGCAGAGAGTTGGTCCAGGTCATCATGGCTGCGGCTGGAGAGGTGGGCCTCCAGGATTTCACCAAACAAATCCCTTTTCAGCAAGCTGTAGGCCATGGGCAGAAGTTGCTTGACAACCTTGTGAAAATACTGGAGAAAGTCGGGGACCCAAAGATTAGTGCATTTCTTTCAAACTATGATCTTAGTGGTTTTGCAACATTCTGGCTTTTGTTTGGCCCAGACCTTTTTGGCTTGTAAATGCCATAAATGAAAGCCATTTGTGCACCAGAAATTTGTTTTTCTGTCTTACATATCCCATTAAATACCACCATGCCACACCTCAGATATATTGTGCCCTATTAGAGGGGTGCTGAGCCCCAAGTTGGGAACCAACAACAAAGCCGTTAGCAATGCTTTGTGATGAGTGTTTTAACTTTATTGTGCAATAAGCACCTGCAAACCCAAGAGCACCCACAGCAATGTGTAATAACACACTGAGGAAGCGCTATGCAGAATGGAAAATGCTGAAAACAATCTGAGAAAAGATTAATTCACCAAAATACACATTTTCATACAGGTAAGAAACCATATCTCAATGTGTGAATATTTGGTTTCACACAGAATATTTAAGAGAACGGTCAGATGCAGAAAGACAGTGGGAGTAATAAAGTCAAATATCAGAGTGTGAGTGCGTTTTTGCACCACTTTATGAGACTTACATGTGATCCGTAACAGAAGAGGTCTATTCCAAGCTCATAACCCATGCCATAGTCACACTCATCGTTGGCAAACTGAACAAACGTGATCATCTCCTGGAGTGGTCCAAAGCCTTTGACGCGCTCTTCATCATTCCGGGCTTCAGCAATTGTCTTGCAGATCTTTTTGAGACCAGCTGGATATGGAGGAGGGAAAACATATCAAGTCATCAATCGTAGGTTAAATAGCTGGAATTGAACTTTTTTAGTCTTAAGTCTTTAAAAACATGCTGATATGGGCATTTTCTTATCACAAAAAAAACATTTTCATGCTGTAAAAAAAAATTTAAACCATTCCTTCCACACACACACACACACACACACCCACCCCCCGTGAAGTGAATACCACCGATTACCTTGTTACAATGGCACCTGCACGTGGGTGGAATAAATTAGGCAACAACTAAAAATTTTGTCCTCAAAGTTGATTTGTTACAAGCAGGAAAAATGGGCAAGCATAAGGATTTGAGCGACTTTGAGAAGGGACAAATTGTGATGGCTAGATGACTGAGTCAGAGCATCTCCAAAACGGCACCTCTTGTGGGGGTGTTCCCGGTCTGCACGTACCCCCTACCTAAGCATTGTTGCAGACCCTTTCACGAATACAGTATTCGCTGATGGCCTATTACAGCAGGATAATGCATCTTGCAGCAAAGCAAAAATAGTTCAGGTATGGTTTGAGGAACACAACAATCGGTGTTGACTTGGCATCCGAATTTCCCAGATCTCAATCCAATCGAGCATGTGGGATGTGCTGGACAAACAAGTTTGATCCATGCCCCACCTCGCAAATAACAGAACTTAAAGGATCTGCTCCTGCTTGGTGCCAGATACCACAGCACACCTTCAGATGTCTAGTGGAGTCCATGCCTCGACGGGTCAGGGCTGTTTTGTCGGCAAAAGGGGGACCCTAAACAATATTAGGAAGTTGGTCATAATGTCAGGGCTGATCGGTGTAAGCTCACCATCTGTTTCTGGTAGTTCTCTGTATCCCACATCATTCTTGTCTATGGGTACAATGATGCCGGCACCGTGGAACGTCTTGGTGACCACCTATGGTGTGACATGAGGTTTTGTTATTAACTATAGAATATCAACTAGGAGTGCAACACTTTGGTCAAACATATTTTTTGTTTTGAACCACTTACCCACATTTTGTCAAATCATACTATTAAGCGATATGGTTGGCAATATGTCCAAAACAGAAACAAGTTTATCCACTAAGACAGTAGAAAGGGAGTTCCTTAGTACAAATATAAACGGAATTGAAAATGCTTGTAGGTGTCCTATTTACTAGGGTTGGGAAATGTCTACAAAATATCCAATAGACAATGTCTACAACGAAACATCGGGATGGACGATGTCATCAGGTGCGTGCACGCACGCACGCACGCATGTGTTGTCGCACAGACTTCACTCTGTAAAAAAAATTGGACTATTAACTTACGTTACAAGTTGCGGTGGATATTTTAGGCCCGGACCAGGTAAAGCAACAGTGAACGCACAGGGTGTAAATGTTAATTTCAGTTGTTTGATAGGCTGCATCATTAATAAGCCGACGTGCGGCTCACCTACCGTGATAACGGATCACGGGTGGAAATATACGGAAAAAAGACGAGTTCTCAGTCTTTTAGGCGACTTTAGAAAACATACTACTGATGGAGAAAATGGAGCAGAAAGAGGCGGGGCAAGACGAGTGTTTACCTGAGGTGTAGGTGTGTGTGAGTGTGTCAGAGTGTGGGGAGGTGAATTCTGAGGCAGGTCCAAAGCATACTTAAAAACAATAATAAGAATCTACATGGTCATTAAAACCTGTTTTCACAGGGTGGTCTAATGTGAACATTTGAGATTTTTTTTGCTAGGGGGGATTGCCGGCTCAACGTTGTGATGTCTGTCAGCCATGGACGATGGCATCGTCTATCGGCCCAACCCTACTATTTACTGACCAATAACCATGTGGTACATAATACGCTTACATTTTCAGTCCAAAAGACAAAGCAACATATGAGGTAAAA